GGCGACCATTGGTTTCCACACACAAGCGCAACCGTCGCATCATAGACTGTCTTACACGAAAAAATACTTCAGGATTATTCCTAAGAACTTCGCAATGATGAAAAACTCGTTCTTCCAATTCTTCAACTGTTTCAACAGGACTGGAATAAACCAATGATTTTAAATAACCCCAAACAAAAAAAATCCATTGGATTTAGATCTGGTGAACGAGGTGGCCAGTTAACAGGACAACCTCTGCCAATTACTCTACCCTCAAATCTTTCGTTAAGGTGCTGTCTAGCTTCAAGGCTGTAATGTGGTGGAGCTCCATCATGCATAAACCACATGTTATGTCTGATTTGAATCGGAATATTATCAAGAAGCTCATGTAAGTTATTTTCCAAAAAAAGCCTGTATGCTGCTCCATTTAACCTATTCGGCAAAACAAATGGTCCAATAAGGTAATTATCAATAACTCCAGCCCAGACGTTTATTGAAAATTTATCCTGGTGGTGACGTTCAACAACCGCGTGAGGGTTATCTTCAGCCCATTCATGCATATTTCGAAAATTTATTATACCATCTCTAGTGAAACCAGCTTCATCGGTAAATAGCACTTTATTAAGAAACATTGCATCTTGATTACATCTTCCAAGAAACCATTCAGAAAAGATAACTCGCGGCTCATAATCAGTAGCTTTAAGTGCCTGAACTTTTTGAATGTGGTAAGGGTACAATTGTTGTTCACGCAAAACTTTCCATACCGTGTTACGTCCGACTCCCACTTCTGAAATTAAATGAGAGAATCTGTGTAGTGAATAGTTAAGAAAGAGAATCCATTGATTTGGGAAATCAGATTTTTTCTGCATAACGCAACTCTTTTCGATACGAAAAGTCGTGAAATGTAAGAGAAGCAATAACAAGTAAAAAAACTAGTTTTATACGATAAGGTACGGGGTAGCTAAAATAATAAATAAGTAATTACTTACCATTTGCTATTTTTCTGGTACTTGGCAATGGGGTTTCAGCTACCCTATCCAAAATTGCTTCTTCCAAAGCAGGAGTTCTCACATAATTTTGTCTTCCACTGTTACTAGAGTTTTTCTTAAATGTACCAGTTTCCCGAAGTCTATCGTCAATTCTAGAAAACGTCTTAGCGCATGGAAGATGCCTATTTGGAAAGCGCTCCTGATAAAGTCTGCGAGCTTCATTGGCATTTCCAGAAGCGAGTCCAAAACATAAGTGCATGTCCGTCATTTCGCCGAATGTGTAATCATTATTGTAGTTATTGTGAGCCATTTTAAACAAAATAATAACAATACAACGAATCGCACCAGAACACTTTTAGAAATAATGTTTAACTGAAGAAACATTTTTATCAGTGAGCGAAAAAAATTATCCATGAAACACAAAAACGCCAAAAAAATACATATTTTTACTTTTTTATTCTAAACAGCTAAATACAAACCTTATGGTCTTCATAATAAATAAATGGGAACTAAATTTTTAAATTTTATTTAGAGAGCTAAAAATAGTATACAGGGTGATTGATTAGTGTGAGGAAGCTCTGTAGATCTGTTATAATAAAAGTAGGCAGCTTTAAGCTTCACATTTTAAAATTAGTTACGATGTGACAGGGTGTTTCATAAGGCCGTGCCAAATCAAAGTTATGTTTTTTAAATGGAACACCCTGTATATTTTTATATTTTTAGAATCTGCTCGATAATCTGATTTCAATGATACATCACACTTGTTATCTAATATGAATAGTAAAGGATCTACAGCTACTCAAAAATCACATTTTTTCAAATTCAGGTGGCTGTTGTAGCCAAACAGTTGGAAATCGAGGAAAACGGCTTACAGTCCCTATCCTAACTTTTTAAGGTCTATTCAGTGACATAAAATACATATTATTTGATACAGGGTGATCAAAAATCCAAAATCACATCCGATTTTTGATCACCCTGTATCAACTAATATTTTTTGCCACTGAATAGACCTTCAAAAGTAAGGATAGGGACATGTAAGCCGTGTTCCTCGATTTCCAACTTTTTGGCTACAACAGCCAAAATTGAAAATTAACCTAAACTGCACGAATATCTTTGGATGATGTTTTCTCGGAAACGGCTGCTCCAATCGAGATCAAACAAGTATTCCTTTTTGACGTAGTTTTCAATGTAGAATGTAAAAAAAAATATGGATAAGTCATTACCAAAAACACAAAAAAGTTATGAATAATCAAAATTTTCAAAAAATTCCCAAGTACACCCCTGACGAAATAATTTCTTTTTGAAGGTGTCAAAAGGTCACTATTATTGATCATATTTAACAGCCAAAATTTGGTTCTTTTATTTGTTTCCATTTTTAAGAAAATTCAAAAAATCAAAATAAAAAAAATGATTTCGAGAGGCTGTTGCTCGCTTAGGGGGCACTTTAGGACATAGGTCTATAGGAACTTTTTTTCCATTTTTTGGTTAAGGAATCTGCCTGAGAATTTTGGGACACATTTTAAAGGACACCCTGTATATGTACCTAAATGTTTGGCGAAGGTTTCACCTGAGAAAAAAAATTACATTCGGTATTGATAATTTTGACCTTAACGAGAAAACCATTGATGGAAAAGGAACAACACATGCTATGGCCTTGGTTGTGTTTCAAGAAAAACAGTCTATACAACCAATTAGGGACCCGATTAAAGGAGGCAAATTCTCTTTAAGCATCGAATAAACGGTCATAAGTCTGCAGCGACTTGAAAAATATAATAAGCCTAAAACCCGTCCTGTACTTCCCGAATTAAAGTTACCAACAATATCTCGAGAAAATTCAACTAGCTCGAAAAAGATGAATTTATTTTGGTGAGTGTTGAAATTCCTCTAGAATGAGTATTCTTTCCTGGGATGGAGTGATTTTTAAAATATTATGTCTAAAAATAATATTCTAGTTTCATCAATTACATACCTTCCCTTTTTAAATGCTCCCCCAGCAGAATTTGACACAGTTTTTACCGCAATAGTAAGGTTAGCACAGTTAGCAGAAAAACTGAATCAGGATCATATTGTAATAACCGCAGACTTAGCAATTTATTACAAGGCGCGCGAAATACTGTGAAACAAACCTCCACAATTGTCTGGCAAAGTGACTTTGCAACTTGGTAGGATGCACCTAACAATAGCATTTATTGCAAGTATAGGTTATATTTTTGCTGATGGTGGACTAACTTCGATTTTTGTCGAAACAGACATTTACGCAGCAAATTCTTGTCGACTAATGCTCGATGGAAAGCAGTAATATCGCGCTATTCGAAGTCTAACATTAGCAGCCGATGCAGTGTTTCAATTATTTTACAAGTCTCTAAATAAATAGTACGAAGAAAATAAAGAACAAAAGTTTTTACTGACGAGCTGAAAAAAATGGACAGAGTAATAAAATCAAGAAATGACGAAGCAGGTAACTTAGAAGATCTTTCCTACTTTCTTGAAGATCACAACAAAGTTGTAGCAGAATTTGTAAACTTGGGTTGCGGTTCATCAAAAACATTTAAATATTGGTACATTTTTTTGGAGACAATCGATTTACTTTGGTAAAAGAAATGGAGATTTTTGAAAGTCATCTGTGACAATCGAAAATGCACTTGTGTTAAAGAAGGCCTAAAATATTGTAACGAGTGTAAATGTCGTTCCTGCAACAACAGTATCAAAGATTTTGACGTAGATCCAGAAGATGACGAATTAGAGTGCTCTAAATAATAAATATTTCAACGATAAACCTTATTATATGTTTACATTTTTAGTTTCATTCAATTCAAAATGTTTAATATACTACTAATTAGGTAAGTATAAAGGGTTAGTTTATAACACTGATTGATATTTATATGTACTTATACCTATCTTTTGGATCTCTTTTTATATTTTTTACCTTTGCACCTGCTTTACATCCCTACCTGTTTTAGAGCTATTGAAATAAGTTAAGACTGCTACACATTATCAGAACTAAGAACGTTCTGACCGATCGCCGGTCGCGCTCGCAGGCCCGGAGCAGAGCGCGCAAAAATATGATTTTGGCCCGTTTAAGAAAAATCGCTGACTCGATACTATAACCGACACATAAAAAGTTTTCATTCTAAAAATTTTTTTTGACTATTGGCTTCAATTTGTTCGTAGCATATATGTACAAATTTTTAGAAATAAACTTATTTCTCGATTGCTTAAAATTACGTTACTGAAAATAACCAGTTTGAGTTTGCTGTTATTTTAACAAATTTACAATTTTTTTTGGGGATTTAAGTGGAGTATTGTTCAAAGCGCTATTGTGTCTACTTTAATATGTAAACAAAATTACCTCGATATCACGATTATATTCCGAGATATAGCGGTGGAGACGTTAAAAAACATGTTTTATAAAAAATCGATTTTTTTTTAAGTTTTTTCGAAATAAAAAAGTTCTCGACCACCAAAAAATGTCGTCAAAAATGATTTCGTGTACCTGATTACCTTACTAAAGAATTGCACTAAGTCTTGTTTGGTTCTACGCCGGTTTTTTTTTTTTTTTTTCTCAAAAACTAAGCGACTTTCCTTTTTTTACTCCGCTATAAACTGAATGAGCTACTTCCATGCTATTTCCATCAAAAATGTTTGTTTAGCTAACAATAAATATATGCCACGCTTTCCGGTCGCATTGTATATATCTGTATCAAACTTTTTTATGTTTAGTTCGTGGTCTAGATTAGACGTGACAGCTTTAAAAACATTTCGCTGACGAAAAACTCTGATTTTTCCGAGAGATAAAATTTTAGGAGCGCCGAAAAAGGTCTGAGAACTCTCCCTTTTTTGATAAATGAGTTTTCTGCAGTCACGAAAATTTTAGCAGTCCGTCTGATCGGATAAAAGGCAAAGCTTGTTTATTGGATATCTGACTTTTTCTGTACGATATAAAAATTTATTAGATCTGTTTTCTTACTGGCAGAGATTTTAGCTTGTTATTCAGTAAACAAAAATCTTTTTAAAAGTAATGTTTCGTCTTACCCAAACCATTAATGTACCAAAAAACAGGCGTGGACAAGGCTAGTCCAAAAATGTAATATCGCCATATCCAGTTGTGTTTAACATAATGTCTGAAAGGAAACTGGACTAGCTTTGCAGTAAAAGTATAAGGAAACTTCATAGGTTTTCTTTCAGATTTGTAAATTCGTTTAGTTTCTCCGCATGTGCAGTGAATGCTGGCAGGAGGTTTATTTTTGTTGAAAAAGAAGTACATCTTCGACAAACTTCGGTACTAGAATAATTATAATAAAATAACGGTATACATTTATAACCAATACTTACGGTTTCTTTTATAAAAATCTTGGTAAATTATAAAATACGGTATATTCAAAATATAATTCTGCAATAGGACATTTAAGTTAATGTAAAAGCATATCTGTCAATATGACATCAATGTTCTGAGATCACATATCAAAGTATGTGAATGAGATAGTTTGATTTTTCTAATTTACTTAATCCTAAAGCAGTAGTCGCCAACCTGTCGATCGCGAGCGGTAGCTCGCTGAGGCAATTCTGGTAGCTCTCAAGATTTTAATTTAAAAAATACAAACTGCAAAAATCAGAGAAGCTTCCGAAAATTCCACAAAAAAATCTAATTGTCATAATATTAAACATAAACAGCGGCAACGTTGCGGTGAGCGATCTGCCGCTGACGCCATCAAGCTAAAATCGGCTAGAACCGACCAGCGGGTTAGTGTTCGAGAACGATCAGGATTGCTTTGAACGGGATAAATACGCACGGCGCGGCGACATTGCGCTTAGTTTAAAACTGAACGCGTAACCAACGTCCAGCGGTTGGATTAGTAGAGACCAACAAAAAATAATATGGCAAGCAGTTGTAAGAAGGTAAAGACATACCACTTTCATTCGGAATGGGAAGAACAATACTTTTTCACAGATAAAAATGTGTGCTTGTTATGTAATACTTCGGTCTCCGTTGCTAAAAAAGGAAATATTGAGAGACATCATAAAACTCTACATTCTAATTTTGAAAAATCATTCCCACTACATTCTGCCGCTAGAAAGGAGAAACTGAAACAGTTAAAAAAGCAGTTAATTGGACAACAATATTTTTAAGAACAGTCGATAAAAATAAGGCTGCAACTGAAGCATCGTACCATGTGTCCCAGATAATTGCACAAAAAAGAAACCTTATGAAGACGGGGAAATGATAAAACAGGCGTTTTTAGAAGCTGCTGATTCGTTATTTGCCAACTTTAGAAATAAAGACGAGATAGTTTCAGCTATAAAATCTATGCAACTTTCTGCTAATACAGTGATGAGACGTGTAGAAGTAATGAGCAATGATATTTTTTTACAGTTAAGAACTGACTTAGATAACTGTGTTTATTTTTCACTTCAACTGGATGAATCAACAGATGTCGTTGATACTGCCCAGATGACCGTGTTCGTCAGGATGGTTTTAGTGATTTTACGATTAAAGAAGATCTTTTGAAGTTTATTCCACTGAAAGGACACACTACTGGATAGGAGTTGTTTTCTCATTTAAAAAATATTATTTCTTCCGAGAAAATTCCAATATCGAAAATGGTAGGCTTGACAACCGATGGCGCTCCAGCTATGGTGGGTTGTGATAAGGGTCTGGTGGCGTTATGTCGTAAAGATGAAACTTTTCCGCAATTTCTCTGTTACCACTGCATTATCCATCAGCAAGCATTATGTGGAAATTTCCTGAAACTAAACAACGTTATGAAACTGGTGGTAAAAATTGTGAACAAGATTAGATCTCAAGCGTTACAAAGAAGAGTATTCAAAACCTTGGCCGATGAAGTTGACTGTCAATACGGGGACCTACTCCTTCACTCTGAAGTCCGATGGTTAAGTAGAGGCTTTGACTTATCTGGAATTTATAAATTAACTTGTAAATCTTGCCATTCTTTCTATGTGGGACGCACATTTCGAAATTTCAAGATCCGTTTAAAAGAACATTTACGTTGTCTTGACCAAAATACAACAGGTTTTTCACATTTTGCCAACCACCTACTGGACTCAAATCACGACTTCGATTCAACTGAAGGTTTCGAAATCCTTCATAGTTCCTACAATAGATTTACTCTTAATAGCTTCGAAAACCTCGAGATATTGAGACATTTAAAATTAAATCCTGTTGGTTGCTTAAATGCCCAGATATTGTCAGAAACTCCTCCTGTTTTCTCAACACTAATCTAAATTTATCGTTCTAACTTCCTTTTTAACCTCCCCTCTTTATTTCTATTCACATATCTTCTTGCAAGGGGTACATTTCAGTAAGTAATTTTTATATTTTTTATATTTTTTCCCATAAGAAACCAACGAGCACGTGTAAAGATTAGGTTAGATTGTCTGATTTCCACATGCGTCATTTTCTTCTTTTATTCTTCAATTGCTTCACAACAGTTAACCCAGTCATTTCTTCTTCTTTCTTCTTCCTACAACATCACATACACTTGGTGATTGGTTCATGGCCCAAATCTTATATAATAGATAATAAATAATTCTTCACTCATAGTTTACATCTTATTAACTATACCCTGTCATAAGTTTACCCAAGAATTTTTTCGTTATAATACTTACCACCACCTGTAGAGGCCTTAACTTGACAGGTCTCCTTTCAAAAAATGTTAGTTTTTTTAAAAAACAACAATGTTTAAAATAGGCCTTATCTTTTAATCTGTTTAATGTATGTGATTTGTTTTTGTATAGTCTTGAATATTTTAAATTTTTACTATAATTGACTAATATTTGTTTTTTCAAATATTTTTAACTTTTTATTACGTGTAAATCGGTTCATTTTACAATTTATTTCAACCCAAAATTGATGAAACTTGTTTTTGTAGTATTCCCTAGTGGATGGAGAGTATGGTGAGTTTTCTCTTTTTTATTATTTTATATATCGTTTTGTTTCCAAGTTAACACACCACATATTCTCCTTTCCACTAGGCGAGCCTGAAGATGAAGTGATGACACTTCGAAACCGGTCGCACTCAATGTTTTGTTAAACAATTAAACATTGACTTTCCTTGTGAGATATAAAGGACTTTTTCTCACCCTTCACCTTAAAATTACCTCAACTCACACATGGCTACCCCCCTTGTCAAAGTTAATAGAAACCTTTTTTCATATTTTTGGACGAGCTATCACGTCCTGAACTGCGCATATATTATTGAAACACCCTGTATATACAGGAAAGAGCGGAGATCACCAAAAGGGAGCCCAATGCCCAACGACAGGAACAAATCTGGTATACAGACGGGTCTAAGACTGCGGAAGGCACTGGGACAGGAGTATTCTCCAAAAACCCTGATACTAACCATAGCTATGCTATAGGAATACATTCCTCGGTATTTCAGGCCGAGGTATACGCAATTTTGCAATGTGCAAAAACGAACAATGAAAGAGCTGTTGAAAATCAGCATATTCAAATAATGTCAGACAGCCAAGCGGCACTTATCGAGTCAGAAGGTTACGTCGAGGCTGGTATGGGAATGCATCGAAGAACTAAGAACACTGGCAAACCGTAATAAAGTAAAACTATTTTGGGTGCCAGGTCACAAAGGGATCGAAGGCAACGAAAAGGCTGACGAACTTGCAAAAAGAGGGTCAGAAGAAACACCGGAACCAGACACAAACCCAGGAGTACCAAAAAGTACAGTCCGGGGTTTTATAAATGACTGGATTCGGGAACAACATATCAACTATTGGGGAAGCACCCCAAAACAGGCACATGGAAAAGCCTTCATAGACAGACCATGTCCCAAAAGAACTGGAGAACTACTCTTAATGAATAGGAACCAGTTGAAAGTGATAACAGGGTTCATGACTGGGCACGCCCCAGTAAAGGGACACTTGAACAAAATTGGCATGTACAATGGGGAACTCATGTGCCGACTATGTCACAAGAAACCAGAAACGACCAAACACATACTGTGCAAATGCGAAGCTCTAGATCGCAAAAGACAGGCTCTTTTTGGACAACCCCAGGTTGATCCAACAACGTATAGAACCCACTCACCCAAGGATCTGTACAAACTTGTACAAGGTACAAAGGTGATAGAGTGGGTGCTATGAACTAACATGGGGTAAAACACAATAAGCCAATAGGCTTCAGTGTTATTCGGAGACACATAGTCAGACGAGCCCAGGAGAGAAAAAAAATATTCGGAAGAAGATAAATAAACTATCTAATAATCTGTTTTATTAAAACATTCGCCTTACATGTGCCTCGAATGCTTTCAGAAGCATCTAGCAACTTTTTATTTTGAATAAGCTAATTTTTTATTATTTTTTTAGTTGAAATCGGTTGGAATTACTTGTTCATTTGTTGTGGTTTTCAATATCAGAATATAGTTTCATTTATGTTTGTACAATATTTCAATTTAATTTCATTTTTTTTGTAGTTAAATATGTCAAAATACCAAAATATAAAAAAATTGGTCCTTAAAAGTTCACCCGGTATATTAATTCTGCCTGGTTTTTTTATCTCCTGGGACCACTAAATACGTCAGTATACGTTAAATTAATATAAAAGGTGCTCACTTGAAATAAAAAAAACCAAATGCCCACCGGTGGGTACGCGGTCCGAACAGAAAGACTGAAAATGCCCACCTGTTGACACACGGCGCTAAATATGTTAATACTTAACCTTAAAATATCAAAAAAATCCCCCATAGTTAACCATTTTAAGAGTGGCTATCAAATTAATGTCAAAAAATGTTTCATGGGGCTAATTGGCCTTAAGGAAGTTTCCTTATTTGTTAAAAATTCATGAATAAACTTGGCAATTCAATTTAAACATTTTTAGCAGTTCCATTTGATATTAACACTGAACCTCTGTTATTCACAAAGTTTTGAAAATCTATGGTTGTCCATTCTTGACGCAATACAAAGTTCTTTAAATAAGCAGGGCCGCCGAGAGCCAAGCCGGGCCCCAGGACAATTCTCTAGATCGGGCCCCGTGACAAAAAAACAGCTCTTCAAACAAAAACTTTTCCTCCTCTACTTGGATTCAATTTTCTAACCTAAAACTTCCTCCTCTCGTCTTTTGTCGAGTTTCTTTTCTCATACAAAACAAAAATTCCAGTTCCCGGGCCCTCATTTGAGTCGGGCCCCGGGAATTAGTCCCGGCTACCCCCCTCTCTAGTCGGCCCTGTAAATAAGGGCCGATATTTTCGTTTGTCGTACGGTAAATTTTAAATCTAAAACAATGGCAAACTGGAATCCATAAGCTGTTACTATACGATTCTTATTTGTATAATTTGTATGATTGCCGCTTAAAATAATTTACGCCATTTCGCTCTTTGACTTTAAACAATCTTATGAATAGAGCGATATATAGAATTTGAAATCTTCAATATTTGAAAACAATTTTAAAATAACTGAATATTATAGTGATTTAAAACTATCGTTAAAGAATGATATATTTAGTAACGAAGACAATGT